AAAACTGAAAGTGGTGAAGTGTTTAAACCCAGAAACAGAGACAGCTGAAACCCCTTCACACACAGAGAACGCACCACAAGAAAGACCTACTAGTGTTTTGCAAGTATGGAGGGTGCAAGAAGGGTTGAATGAGAGACTGTGACAGTAAATGAGAAAGAAGTAGATGCTTACAGAGATACTGGGGCACAGGTTTCTCTGATCCAGCCAGGATTTGTGCAGAGACATCAGTATTTGCCTGGAAAATCCTACACCATTAAAGGCATTAGAGGAACTGCATTTGAAGTAGCCCTAACTGAGGTTCCAGTCAAGTACAAAGACTTCCAAAGGCAACTGGATAATGGGAGTCCTCAGCGATATCGAAATACCCATCCTATTGGCAAATGATCTGGCTTCTCAAGTAAAAAAACAGCAAGACATCTCAGTCAATATTGTTACAAGAAGCATGCCAAGCACCACCATGTGATCAGGCTGAGCAGCAACCAGAGGAAGAAGAGACATTGCTGCAGAGCGTATATGCAGCAGAGTTCCTGACTGAACAGCGGCAGGATTCCAGCCTTGCAGGAACTGTGGCAGAGAGCTGACGTGAGCGATCAGGAAAGTTCCAGGTTCAGCCCATTCAAACTCCTCTACGGGAGGCAAGCCCAGAGGACCCCTTGATGTTCTGAAAGAGGCGGGGTCCGGGCGCGAGGACATCCAGGAGACAGATGTCATCACCTATCTACAAGAGCTCCAGCAACATCTGCAGGAAGTGAGGACAACAGCTGCAGACAACATGAGACGAGCACAACGACAGCAGAAACTGTGGTATGGCTCTAAGGCCAGGGTCAGAGAATTTAAGCCTGGGGACCGAGTTCTAGTGCTAAAACCCAGGAGGAAGAACAAACTAGATGTGGCCTGGGAGGGGACCTTATACCATTGCCCATAAGGTCTCCAACGTGAACTATTTGGTAACAATGAGTGATATGGGTGAACAATGTAAGATGTTTCATGTAAATATGTTGAAACCTTACTATGACAGAGGTTAATTTGGTACTAATGGCAAAACGGGAAGAGAGTATGGTAACTGAACTGTCTGAGTGGGGGGAAATCTCCCAAGAAATTACCATTAATGAGGTTCAGTTTGCCCCTTCAAAGAGGGCAAATACAAGCCATTCTTTCTGACCAAGTACCAAAATATTTTCTCCAACTTGCCGGGGAAAACAACTTGCCAGGGTCCGACATACCTGAGGGACCGCCTTTCCCCATACGTACCCTCAAGAGCACTTCGGTCGGGGACTCAACATCACCTGGTGATCACAGGCCCCCGGGAGGCAAGGCTTGCCGCAACTAGGGCCAGATCCTTTTCAGTGGCGGCTCCTACCTGGCAGAACGAGCTCCCGGAGGAGATCAGGGCCCTGCAGGACCTCATACAGTTCTGCAGGGCCTGCAAGATGGAGCTCTTCCGCCAGGCTTTTACGTAGGAGCCACCAATACCACTACCACCACCATCCACGGCGTGGGTAACAACTAGGTAAGAGGACGGCCGTTGAAGATCTGCCATGATACCGCGCGGGGTGGGTACCACTGGACTGGCCAGCTACAGGACACTATCTACCTCCAATGAAAGATCCGGCATTTACTGTTGGAAAACCATCTTGTTCTTATTGAGCACCTTACTTTTGTGATTCGATGATTTTATTCTGTTTTGATCTTGTTTTATATTGTTGCCCTCTTGTAAGCCGCACTGAGCCCGCTTGCGGGGAGGGCGGGGTAAAAATACTAATAAATAAAATAAAATAAATCACAATACAAGAACTCGTGGGCACTCAATGAAATTGCTGAGCGCTCGGGTTAGAACGGATAAAAGGAAGCACTTCTTCACCCAAAGAGTGATTAACACATGGAATTCACTGCCACAGGAAATGGTGGCGGCTACAAGCATGGACGGCTTCAAAAGGGAATTGGATAAGCATATGGAGCAGAGGTCCATCAGTGGCTATTAGCCACAAGGTATAGATAGGGGCTCTGGGGCAAGTGATGCTCTGTCATCTTGGTGCTTGGGGGGGGGTCAACAGTGGGAGGGCTTCTAATGTCCTGGCCCCACTGGTGGACCTCCTGATGGCACCTGGTATTTTTGGCCACTGTGTGACAGAGTGTTGGATTGGATGGGCCTTTGGCCTGATCCAACATTGGCGTCTCTTATGTTCTTATATTCTTAAATAAAATAAAATAAATAAACTTAGCATATCATAAGATTGATACTGGGGATTCGAGGCCTGTGGCACTTCCACCATATAGAGTGACCGGCCCGAATGCCACATATGTACAGAGGGAGGTCGAGGAAATGTTAAACTTGGGACTTATTGTACTGTCTGTAAGTCCTTGGGCCTCACCTCTAGTACTGGTACCGAAGCCTGACAAACCCATGAGGTTAAACAAGGTGACTGTACCTGATGTGTACCCCATGCCACGTACAGACGAGTTGGTGGAAACAATTGGGGCGGTGGCCTGATAGGCTAATGAGCTGTGCTGTCAGGGGTGTGGCCTAATATGCTAATGAGTTTCTGCTGTTGGGTGTGGCCTGTTATGCTAATGAGTCCCTGCTGGGCTTCTACAAAAAGGGCCCTGACACTGATACATCCTCTAAACTATCAGACTGTTGCAGAGCTGACTTCTCTCAGAAAGTCTACTGAAAATACATCCTGGCATGGTGACTAGCAGCCAATCGTTTTTGAGAAGCTACAATTGCTCATGAAGTGACTTTTTTCAACATGTAATGTGGCTTTGTGGAAGTACACCCATTTGGTAAGATCCCTTCCACAAGATCATCCTACCGTGCAAATACAAAACATTGATGTGAATCATTTTGGGGAGGGGCTGTGGCTTAGTGAAAGAGCATTTGCTTCGCATTCAGAAGGTTCCAGGTTCAACCCCAGGCATCTCCAGCTAAAAAATATGGAGGTAGGTGATGTGAAAGACCTCTGCATGAGACCCTGGAGAGCTGCTGCCAGTCTGAGTAGACAACACTGACTCTGACGGACCAAGACACTGATTCAAAATAAGGCAGCTTCACATTTCCGTATCGTTTCAAACAGGTATGTTTCTACTCCAAAGGGAACAAGTTCGACAACATACCAGAGAAATGACTGAATCTTGAAATCTTGGAGCCCTGAGAGACACCAACCAGCTGCACTGTTCCACTCCTGTTCCGTAGGACTCCACAGCACAGACTCTCAGTCTACACATGCTGCTTTTGTGTCCAATACCCGTGCTTTACTACAGGCAGCAGCAGCTGCTGTCAGAACGGCCCAGTAAGCAGCAGAACAGATTTAGTGTCCAGTGGCACCTTTCAGATCAACAAAGGTCTATTCAAGGTATGAGCTTTCGTGTGCCAGGCACACGTTTTCAAATACAGTGGAATGCCAGATGAGGTTCTAAACTTATAGACAGGGATTTAAGGGCAAATTAACATGTAACATGATGATGTTTAAGATATGCAAAGTGAAAAACTAAACAACAAGACTGCCCGTTAAACAGGCAGTCTTAGAAATGTAAAACTTCCGGAAATTTTGAAGCTCGGAAAAAAACCCTTTTTTTCCCAGGGGGAAACGGAAATTTTCGGAAAAATTGAAAAAAATGCTACATTAGCACTTCTTTTTTCTTTTCCAGATTGAAACTCAATCTATTACTTTAGGAACATAAAATATGACTGTGGACATTTTTACTTGGCATGAAATTATCACAACTAGCATATTAAAAATATAGTGTATCCAGGGGTCATTTCGTAGAAAAAGAGCTAGGGGAACTCATTAGCATAACTCATTAGCATATGCCACACCCCCTGACATCACCGGAAGTGTGTCATAAGGCCACACCTCCTGACATCACCAGAAATGTGTCATAAAGCCACACACCCCGCCCCCAACGGTCCCGGCCGCCAGTGCCGGCCTTGCAGCTCCACCCGCCCCCTGCACCTCACCCGGGGGAACTGCGTTCCCCTGCATTCCCCCCCCTAAATGACCTCTGAGTGTATCCAAACAATTATTACAATCAGAATACTCACCCACATGCAAAAACAAAACTGAAACCTTTTTCTTTTCTTGTGACAATAGCAACTCCTAAAGGAAGAAATGCATCTTGTTCTTGCATTGGAGAGTTCAGTTTGTAACCTAGGACTTGCTTGTCCTCAGTGCACAGAAATTAGATCAATCTGATACCATACATATTTTTTAGAAATGATTGTGAAAATATTTGAACACCTTGTCTTAAAATATTTCATTCATCATGTTAAAATAAAATGTTCCATAATCACTTTTCTTTTCTTTCTTCAATTTTTCCAATTTTTCAGAAAAAAACAAAAAAGGCTTCAGGAAAAAAACAGGAAAAAACCATTTCCACCCGAATGTTTCCGTTTTTTCCCCCAGGCCTTCACATCTCTAGGCAGTCTTGAGGTCAGCCATTTTACTTCACCCAGAGAAGGGAGTGGGAATTAGCACCACATGAGTACCTGATGGATGATCATTAATTTATTACACCATTTATACTACAACTTTCTCCCCACCATTTATAGTATAGGTTTCTCCCCAATGGGGACCCAAAGAGGATTACATTGTCGTCCTTGCCTTCATTTTATCTTCATCACCACAACCCAGTGAGGTAGATTAGGTTGAGAGTTTGTGACTGGCCCAAGATCACCCAGTAAACTTCAATGGTAGAGAGGGGATTTGAGCCTGGGTCTCTCAGATAAACCCAAATGATGTGAGGACTATTAAAATGAATAGTATGGTAGAAAGCAACATGTACAAATAACCAAGAGGTTCAGAGTTGGAGGTGGGTGGTAAGAGACTGTCAACTTTCTGGAAACAGGAAAATTATCAAACCAATGGCATTTCATGTACATAATAACAATACCACTTCATGTCCATAAACATCCATACCATGGACTCTTGTGATACTATTTGTTGCAAAAAAAAATGTTTAAGTGCTTGATATGCAACCAGAAAAAGACATGCTATACTTACGTTGTGTCAAGAGTCCTGTTAATTTTTGCTATTAAGCCCAATGAAGGATCCATTTTGGCATACATTGTTGACATAACTCCCACCACTACAATAAGCCAACTGGATGGGCTGGCTGGATAGACTCCTGTGATTATACCATTCTGGAAAGAAAAGAAACATTTACTTGTTTTGTGTATTCTGAAGCATCCATTTCATATTTCCAAGGGAAATCTTGTTTAAAACAATCCCAGCGTACAGGTAAACATGACCATGTGAACACATACATTATAAACTATTAGCAGACTGAAAAAACTGGGCAAAAGAGTAATAAATTCTCTTAAGCACAGGGAGGTAAATGAATACAGTTTGCAGAAAAGTTGACAGCTTGCATATATACATAGAGAGAGGAACAGGGAAAGGGGGGGGGAGACAAAGGAATTTGCACACAAAATAAATTCAATACAATAAGATCAAATCAGTCCATCCTAAAAGAAATGAACCCTGACTGTTCCCTGGAAGGCCAGATAATGAAACTGAAGCTCAAATACTTTGGCCACCACATGAGAAGGGAGCACTCACTGGAGAAGACCCTGATGCTGGGAAAGATTGAAGGTCAAAGAAGACGGGGACGGCAAAGGATGAGATGGTCAGACAGTGTCATAGATGCAACAAACATGAAATTGAGCCAACTTCAGAGGATGGCGGAAGACAGGAGGGCCTGGCGGGAGCTGGTCCATGGGGTCGCAAAGAGTCGGACTCGACTGTGTGACTAAACAACAACACCACCATACCTCCTCACCTTATTGCCTCATGCCATAGAAAGGCAGGCTTTAGCAAAGCAAAAGGGCTCTCAGAGGTAATAAGAGACACTGGACACTTAATTCAGCAGAAGGAAGGATAAAGGAGGATTCCCTGATGTCTTGCCACTCTTGTCCCCACTGCCTAAGTGCTAACTGTCAGAGAGTGTACATAACGTAAAAGACAAGCTTCTAAAAGTCTACAAGCGATTAAAGTAATTTGAAAACATTCAGTTGCTAGACTATGCAGGCAAGAGTCCATCATAGGGTTGCCAGGTCCCTTACCTGTTGCGGTGGTGGGGGGGGGAGAGAAGCTCCAGGTCCAAGAACTTTGTGCGCACCGTGATGATGTCACCTGGAAGTGATGTCATTGACCTAGGCACGTCACTGATGGACGCTCTAGCATTTGGCTTGAAAACTCTATGGTACCATATAGTTTTTAGGCAGAATGCTAGAGGGTCCCCCCCCCCCCCCGTGACGTGCCCAGTGTGATGACGTTACCTCCAGGTGATATCATCGCACTAGGCACGTTGGCCCGATCTGGGTACTTTGGGGGCGGGGTTCTCCCCACCGGCCAAATCCGAGCCGGTGGGTCGGGGGCCTTTTAAGCCCCCTCGGGGGACCTGGCAGCCCTAGTACATCAAGAATAGCTGTGGTCTGATGAAAATGCTGCAAAGTTTCAGGCAGACAGAACAGTTAATAGGCTGTGAGAAGCAGCAGAATTGGGTAGGCAGAAATAATTTTGTACACCATTTCAGTCTTTCAAGGTTATAAATATTTAAAAGCAGGAGTTCATACTATGGGGATGAGCCATGTTTTCCCAACATATAATTGCCATGCGACAGTAATGCATAGAAGCAGAACCCATTTGCAAAGGCATGCTTAACCCTTCCCCTGCGTACAAATTTTCTCTCACAAAACGTCTCCCCTAGGCCTCCTCCCCTCAACAGCTGGAGATATTTATGATTTCAGATCCTAATGGGAGAAACATTAGGGGGCATTCGAGATGAACAGATTGTAAGGAAGAACTGGTGCAAAGTTTCACATCCTGCCCCCAAATGCCCAGCAGATGCTCATGGCACTCCCCAAAGCATTATCCAGTAAGCATGGGTTTAGGAACCATTTGTTTTCCCACACAGATTACAGTTTGTCCTGGGTGCAGAGTCAATCCTGAACTGATTACCTTGAGTCTGATGTACTTCTTCTTCCAGGAATAGAGCCCAGACAGATAGATCTGCCTGAGTGCTTCATGGCTCATGCGCAGATCAATCCCATCTGGAGTTACAGTGAACTGAAAAGCGACCGCTTGATGTGCTTCTGCCATTGTGAGACGTTATCTGTTGGGCAAAAGGATGAATATTAATAACCAATTATTTTGTGAGAGATAATTCATGTCTTTTAAAAAGTCCTACTGCTAAGTTGTACAGACCAAGTACATACTGTCTTTTTACAGATGTTCAAGGAAGATACTGTCCAAGTGCCGTTCTTATGATTCAGACTTTATCACAGGCATTCCTAGCATGGAGTGTAAAAACTTTGCCCATAATAACAAAAGGAAACTTTTGGCCTAAGGTAATAGATAACGAAACAGCTATGCTGTGATACAACCACATAGGCTTGCCAAGTCCCCCCGGGGGGCGGGGAAACCCCCGCCCCAGAGGCCCGTTCCCCGCCGGCGGCGGATTGGGCCCTGGGGGGAACCCCACCCCCAAAGTACGTGACGTGCACGCCACCCGAAGTGACGCGATCACGCCGGGCACGCTGGGGGCAGGGCCACGGTCATCCGAGGGAAAACTCTATGGTTTTTCCTCGGATGGTCATGGCCCCGCCCCCAGCGTGATCACGTCACTTCCGGGTGACGTGGCTGCGGCGCGCACGTGCTCCGGGAAACAGCCGGGAGTCCCCCGCTCCAGCTAAAGGTAAGACTTGGCAACCCTACAACCACATTACCTCACTAAGAAGCAGAACCAGATCAGATTTTCTTTTCCACACATGCAAACACCTGAGCAAATACAGAATTACAGAACCCAAGTCATTCAAGTCAGCCACTGATAGAGTTGCCAGCCTCCAGGAGGGGCCTGGGGGATCTCCTGCTTTTACAACTGACCTCCAGCTGACAGAGATCACCTCCCCTGGAGAAAGTGGCTGCTTTGAAGGGTGGACTCCATGGCATTGTGCCATGCTGAGGCCCCTCCCCTCCCCAAACCCCGCCCTCTCCCGGATCCACCCCCAAAGTCCCCATGTATTTTCTAACCTGGACCTGGCAACCCCAGCCATTGCTCATGAGAACTGACTGGCTATCAGAGCAAGTCAGAGAGCCATTAAAAAGACTCGAAAGAAGACACTGAATATAGTCCAAATATACAGCCACAACTGATGGAAGAGACAGGTCCAAAGATTAACCATCTGAAGAACTGAAGAAGAAATGCAGTAGCCCACCCCACATTTATTTGATTTACTACCTTTCTCACCAGTGGGGGACCTAAAGTGACTTACATCATTCTCCTCTCCTCTGTTTTATCCTCGCAACAACCCAGTGAGACAAATGAGGCTAAAAATAGATGATTGGCCCAAAAGTCACTGTCATGATCGTGGGCCTAGCGTGGTGCAGCCTACAGTCTCTGGGGAGGCCTAGTGGCTCCAGGGAGGCCTGCATGGGAGTAGTCATCAAGGCCTACATTTCCCAGGTTCCCTCTGGACCCTGTGATTGGGTAACAGAAGATTTTGGAGGGAAAAATTACACCAGTGGGGGAACAATGGGTGGAGCCTGGGAAGAGGAGATAAAAGGCCTTACCCAGAGAGGGAGGGGGTTCTCTCTCAGGGCTGGTGGGAACTGCTGCAGACAGAGGGATCCCTCATCCAAAAAGGGGTGAGTTAGACGGTAAAGAGGTACCTAGGGAAGGCTAGGACTGTGTAGACAGACGCGTTAGGATTTAGTATTTTACTGATTCACCTGCCTTTACTCTGCTCATTTTTCCTACTTGTTATAGATCTAAAGTTGTTGCTAAATCTCTTAATAAAACTATTTGTTACTCTGTCTGGGTCCTCACGCCTCATTTGGTCACGTACAAGGGAAAATCTGTTGTAAAAGTACTGTAAAAGGGGGTAGGGTGGGTGCTCTGGGCACTCCCAAGGAGACCCATACCAGAGTGGTGGCAGCCAGAGGTCATCTCGGGGGGGATCGCGGGGGATCGCAGTCCCCCCAGGTGAGGTATTGGGGCGGGGCACATGACGAAGCCCCGCCCCCTGCTTCCAGACGCCCCGCTTCTGGCCCTCATTCAGCCAGGAGGAGGCAAGAGAAGAGGGAGGGTAAGTTGCTTCCTCCCTGCATCTCCCCACCCCTGCCTGCCTTTTTTTGGGGGGGTGGCCTTATGACACACTTCCGGTGATGTCAGGGGGTGTGGCATATGCTAATGAGTTATGCTAATGAGTTCCCCTAGCTCTTTTTCTACGAAACGACCCCTGGTGGCAGCCATTAGTGAACCCTCCTTGCTGCTGCCCGTGACAGTCACTCAGCAAACTTCCATGACAGAGAAGGAATTTGAACCTGGATCTCCCAGTTCCTAGTCCAACATTAACAACTAAACCACGCAACTGAACTAAGAGGAGGAATACTGTACAACAGTAACTCCCAATATGACTGTCACATTTGAAACCTCAAAAGCCAATATCACGGATAACAGTACACAATTTTTATACTGGCAGACAATGCATACAGCTCTTTTTTCCTAATTGCTCATAATCTTTCAGCTATGATGCGTCATAAATCATACCTCATATGGACTTTGAAAGACTGCCCAAAACAGTTTCTAACATCACCATAAAATGCACAACAACCCCATTATCTGTGTAGTGGAGCCACTTCTGAAATTCACTCACTTTGTTCTGATCAGATGAACATTTTCTTTTCCATTATGAAGCTCAGGGGGGAAAAAACACCTACCGTGTTTCCCCGAAAGTAAGACATCCCCCGAAAATAAGACCTACTTACAGTCTTGCCTCTTGCTGAAATATAAGGCGTCCCCCCGAAAATAAGACCTCCCCGATAATAAGGCCTCACCCGAACATAAGGCCTGCCCAGTAATAAGGCTCCCCGAAGCTACCGTAACTCTGGACTCTGGGCCGTAGCAGCCGCCGCCACCTCGCAGCTCACTGTTGGCCGCCGCGCAGCCGGAGCAGACAGGAAGTGCGAGGTCTCTTTTAATCAGAGAGCCCGCGCCGCCGCCAGGACAAGCTGCCGCCTGTTGCTCGCTCTGCCCTGACGGAGTGTACCGTATTCTTCTTCATGGAAAAATAAGATATCCCCTGAAAATAAGACCTAGCGCATCTTTGGGAGCAAAAATTAATATAAGACACTGTCTTATTTTCGTGGAAACAGGGTAGTTCTGTATAGCCATTCTCTGCTGTAAATTCACACAGCACAAACCAGCTGGCCTCTAGGATATCATAAAACGACCTTCCATTCCACCTTCTACACCAGTGCTTCCATTTCTAAAAGCATTTTTGAAACACAATACTTAACTGAAAATTAACATTTAACTGTACATGTAGTATTTTAAAACTTTTAAAAGGCACCCAGTAGTATTTTGCATAAGGCCACCTACTGATTTCAGGGCCAAGGTGAGATTTGACAAAAGGACTTCCTAACGCACAGCTCATTCCCTTCACTACTACATTATAGTTTAGATCTTTAGCAGCTGCATTCAAAATAAATGTGTACATTTTAGGTTAAGCAGCAATAGTCAAAATTATAAACATACTTCATAAGGTAGGAAAAGAAAAAGTGCAGGAGGACATTGAGGAAACAAAGCAAGAAAATGCAAGAAGGAGCATGCAAGCAGGGGTCATTTGGGGGGGACACGGGGGGACGCCATCCCCCGGGTGAGGTGCGGGAGGGCGGGGCCTGGAGCTCCCTGCTGGTGCCCGCTGGAGGTCGCCGCCGGCTGTGGGGAGGACACACTTCCGGTGATGTCAGGGGGTGTGGCATATGCTAATGAGTTATGCTAATGAGTCCCCCTAGCTCTTTTTCTACGAAATGACCCCTGCATGCAAGTATTCTTACACTGGGAGAACAAATTTGTCATATTTGTTGAAATCGGTGTCAATTGTGGATAACCATGTTTAATGCCATTGAATATTTTAGAACAACAACTTCTGTTTTAAAATGTTTTGTATATTATACTTCTGTAAACAAAAACTCCTGTTTCTTCATTATTTTTAATGACATCAGAGACTTTACTCCAATTCAAGCAAGCTTCATGTTCTAAAAACACACATAATTGGTGGGATTTTGGGGGGATGGTGGTCAGAAATGGGAAATCAAACATTTTTAGCAGTAAATTCCAGAGAAGTATGCTCAAGTTTGCAATAAAACTAGATTAAAAGTTATATATGTGATAAACAACAAGACACTGATATGGAAAATGCCGCTTCTTCCTGGCATTAAAAACTGAATACCTCACCCTTACTAAAATTCAAAAAAAGAGTATTTTGTTAGACCCCGTGGTGCATACAGAGACAAATTCAAAAGTTGTAAAATGAAATTATGATATAAATTGATAGGCATATGCTTTCAAAACAGGGCAACGTGATGAATAATGCACGATGATACAAAAAGTCCCAGCCTCTCAGAAAAGCAAAAGGTGGAAGAAAGGACTCAAAAAGATGGTCTTTTGATCTGATCCATCTGGGCTGTTCTTAAAATGAACACATGGGGGGGGGAGAGACTAATCCAAATATCCTTATGCTGCAGTCCTATGCATATGTACCTGAGAGTCAGAGTTGAGAATAACTGAGCACCCTTATATTCAGAGGGAATTACTTCTGAGAAAATGTTCATAGGATTGGGCTATTCATATCTCTTTTGAGATCATTCAGTTGCTCCGTAACAAGCTTTTAATAGTCTGCTGCAGAGCATTTTCCCTGCCTCCACATTTCTGAAACAGTCACGTGTTCATCCAGAAAAGTAGGTAAAAGGGCACAGTGTTACAGAGCATGCGTCTTGGTTTAGAAATGTAGTTCTCTTTGCTGCCAGGAACCAGAAGCTACAGGAAATTACTCAAATGGAAAGAAGAGGAAACATGTTTATTTGGGCTATAGTAGTATCATTTTAACACTTGAGTACTATTCTTGCTAAGGAAAATATAAGGTGTGAGCTATAAAAGCAGGGTTTGACACAGTCTCTTCATCTGCAAACCTGCATTCTTAATAATTTCCTCTGCTCTCATTCTAATGTATTGTAAAAAAAAAGGGGGGGGTAATGGATTTGATCCAAAGAAATGTTAGAAGGATGGAGGAATCTCTCTTTGTTGAATGTCCTTTCATACTGTACTGCCCT